GAAAAATGAATACAAAAATACTAAGGCTGCATTCCCAGTTGCATATTTTATAATCCAATTCGGTACATAATATTTATGGGATTGGGGCTCCATGAACTTTGACCCTTTTGCTCCTGTATCTGCTGTGCAAAGGATTGTGGGTCGGAATAGCAAACAAGAGAACAGTGAGATTACCACGTACTCATACCAGATGGGAGTATCAGAAATCCCCCCCAAAATTGGTGTAAAATGTCTTAAGTAGAATCACGTGCAGTGTAGTGAATTTTCTCAAGCTTCAGGCGAGACATGTTCTTAAGCCGCTGAGAATGTGTGGGTAGGGCAGCTCCCTTTCATCTAATAATAATAATTAAAAAGAAAGCATGTCTAGCTTAGTGTGGCAAAAAGCCAGAGCATTACGCTTAGTTGAGTACATGAACATTCTCAACAAAGGGCAAGTATTAGGATGAGTTTAATTGCACCTTGTTTTATTGTTTTTACCTTTATCTGTGTATTTGTATTTTACTTTTTGTTCTCTGCGGTGAAAAACAAATCCTTGAAAAAATATCTAAAAGACCCTCAAGACTTTATATTATTTACTAGTTACATGTAGTGTCCAAAAGATACCACCAGTAGGAGCTCTGATCAAACTTAAACCTAAACTACAGTGCAATATATAATATTTCTATATAGTCTAAACAGATTGTTGGCTTGTTTGCAGGGATACAAAAGGACCCCTTTTCTAGGATGTATGCATTTAACCTGTTAAGCCCCAAGTCTGTTTTTCAGGTCTCAGGCTCGAAAATGACATTCCCAGAACAAATTACCATAACTTCACTTCTAAAAGGGGTAAATTAATAATCTTTGTTCTCAAAGCAATGATAAACCTGTGAGTTGGCTGTAGAAAAGTCAGAATCAATATAGAATTGTTTTTAATTTGAAAGTAAATTCAGATTGAACATAGTAAAAAAATGTAAATTATAGTGTCCGTCCAAAGAAAAAAACATTACAGATAGTGAAAACCACCCTTGAATGATGGGATAGTAGACTAAAAGCTTTAGGAATCCAAACTATAACATATAATAAGTACCCTGTATCAAGATTGATGCAAAACAAGTGACATTTGACCTTTTTAGAGAGGTTTAGCAAAGATTTTTTTTCACCTTAGGGGTCATTTGGGTGGATTTGCCGTTCTCTGGAAGTCAATTTTGGTGATTGACATCTCTTTTGAACCGTATACACACACACATTTCCATTGAGGAGTGACGCGCATGCAGTCGAAAGCTATGTTACGCTCTGAAACCTAGGCTCAAACTAGTAAATATGAAGATGGATTATCAGAAATCATTTCAAAGTGACAGACACATTGGATTAACCATTGGATTAACCTTCAGCAGCGTTTTTATCGTTTTGATGCCATTGAACACAACGTTTGATCAGAACAACAGCAAAGGTAAGACTATTCGTTTGTGCAGATCCGATAATTGGTTGAGTGTTTCTACCATGACTTCTGTGCTAAGTGCGTTAGCTTTTTTTCGCTCAGGGCTAATTCAGAGGCTCGGCGTTAGACTTGTGTTTCGTTTGGCTAAAAATGGTTCATATCGTCAGTTAGCTGAGTTTCTTCCCGTTAAGTGGATATGACACATTCATAGTTTGTTAAATGTTAAGAAGCCCTCAGACCAGGGCTCTCGACTAACTTTTTTCACCATCCTCCCGGAACCGTCCCGAAATACAATCTAAGCCGTCCCGAAATTAATGTGGACCATCCCGAATTTAAAATATTTGTTTTTCTACATTATCATTAGTTAAAATCATTCAAAGTGACCTTTAACATAAATAAAACATCATACAAATCATTAGATGATAATTCATCAACCTTTTTATTTGAGTAAATCAGTCAAACACATAAACAAAGGCCAAATATATTTAAAACAAACACACAAGCGAGAAAGTTACTCTAATATTGAATCCAATCAAGTCCCATCCGATTAACAAAAAAATCCAACACTCTGTCCTGAAGACAGAAGACAGAACCCAGAGTAACCACTAACCAGGATGACAGTCTGTAACACAGTCAGGAGACCTTTACAAACTGCCCCGCCCCCTCGCACACAGACGGGGGAGAGAGCTCTCTCGTCTGGATTGGAAAGATCGAAAATAAGATCGAAAATACATCATAGACGCATTTTGTAGTCTTATTGCATATTAGAAACGGAGTTGGCGAAACTAAAACTGCAATATAATGTTCATGTAGCAATAATACATATGACATATAGGTTTTAAATGTCTCCAGTACCGATAAAAAGACCACTGTTGGTACCACTGTCTTTAATAATTCCGGCCGGGGCCCGTTTAATACCGGGGCTCGGTACCCATCCCTACATGGGGAGAGGCGCAGCATATTGCTAAGGACTAAATGCGATGGAGAGTTCTCATCTCAGCTGCAATGACATGTCTGGAAACCCCCTCTCGGGTGCCCCATGCATAGCGCGCCGTCAAAAGCTGCTTCATAAGTTAAGTTTCGTTTTCTCCGCACCGCTCCGGGGTAAAAAAAATGGTAGTTACATCACAGCTGTGCGGCTGGCTGACAGCTGTAGCTACGTACTGTATGTGTGTGTATTTCGCGGGTTGCTAAATGCTTTGTGTGTGTTTATGTTGACAAGGAGGTTTAATAACTGTGTTCTACACAAAACGTGCAGTCAGTTTCATTTTCACCGCCGTTCGTAGTAGAGTTAGCAGGGTATTTTTATTTTAACTCTTGTCCCAAATTCGTCCCAAAATTAATTTGTATCCTCCCGGACCCGATTTTTTTCGGCCCCGGGACGACGGGAGGTCCTTAAGCTCGAGCCCTGCCTCAGACGCTGTTTCTTGCAAGATGTTGCGTTTTGGGGGGCATGGGGCTTACATCCTTTTTTACTGTTCAGTAAACCTAGCTCAGTGACATCTTTTCTGGATATTTCACATTTTATGTGATTCAAAATAATAACACAGGATTTGTTTGAGCCAAAGAGTGCCTTAAATGGAGATATATTGTGGAAGCAGGGGGCGATGGAGGGGATGACACTGCCTGAATGTTCTGCTGGCTCTGGTGAACTTGGCAGCAGACACCGCATCTGGGCCTCCAGCTTTAACAATTGAGTTATCCAGCATCACAATACACAAGAGGATTTATTTATTGTGATACCTGATTTTTTCTTCAAGAGCTTTTTATTTATTTGAGTAGAAATCTGATTTAATGTCTTTCAATTTGTGTGTGTTTCCATTTAAGTTCATTGGCAGTCCTTGTAAATCTCAATTGTTCATTATAGTTTCTCCTTCTAGTTAAGGAGGAATGAATACTAGTTCAAATGTCCTTTCCTCTTCTCTCTCTTCAGGTCGAACCTGCAGAAGAAAACGTCCTCCTTCTCTCTCCTCTCTCCTGACAGCTGGTCCCTCAGTGGGGTAAGATCAAATCTAATTGAATTGTTCAGGGCATTTTTTAAATGTTACACTACATATAAAGCACATCAAAGTGACTCCATTACAGATATAAAGGATCAGAAAGAAGTCAAGAACATCACCTCAACACCTCAGATTCCATTATGTTTCTAATGTAACATACTTAACTAAATAAGAGCTGAATCTATATGTATCTTTCAGTCTGGACTAAAGTATTGACTGCCACTGACATCCTTAGACCAGTATCAGTAGTTCAAAACAAACATATCCTCCTCACATGTTTACAAACAAGGCGTCATTTAGGTGACATATTAAAGTCCAACTGCTGGGCACTGAGGCAGCTTGGAGTTTTGGTAAACCTTTTTTATAATAAGGCACATTTCAAACACTTTTCCAATACACTGTACAAACACTTTGGCAAAAGGCACAACAGCTCACAGAAGGCTATAGAACTCAAAAGTATCTCTTATGCTAACAAGCTAAGCATTCAAAGGTTGATGCGTTTCCATTCACATCCCCTTACAATGATGGAACAACGCCAACACATCGTCCTCGTCTTTTACACAACTCTCTCCTTGTTGCTGTAGTAGCTGACAGGTTACCCACATACAGGTCTTCCAGCTCCTGTGTTTCATGTTTTGCTCACGCCATTGTGACGGACAAACAGCGACATTTCACATGTTGTGCTAATTTAGCGCATGTCGCTAACACAGTTCGACTAAAAGTTTAAAGGGCCGATCTTGCACTTGAGAACTTTTGATTTGTACTATGTGTATATATGTTCGGCTGCATGTGTCAGATCTTTACCCCAATATCCAGAAGGTTTTTCACAAAGAGTCGTTGCAGCCCTATCTTAAACCAAATCATTGGACTGATTAAAAATATTGAAATGATGATTGAGCTGGTTTGGAAACTCATGGGATCACCAAAGTATCCTGTGGATAACATGAATGTCTGTTTAGAATCAATCCCAGAGTTCATTATACTGATTTTGTCTTTATATAATGTATACATCAATTTCTCTGGATCAATATCGACTGACTGTTGAGGGAAATACTTTCCTAGGCCCATACCTTTGACCCAGTTTATCACTCTCCACTCCCCTCGCTGAGCTCAGGCCTGCTGCACTCTTTGTGAGAGTGTTAGAACGAGCTTAATACATGGGACTTGGGCAGGAGCTGTGTCACCTCGTGGCTGCAGCAAACGTCTTTGCCAATTTCCTGGCCGTAACCTCCAGCTCTCCTGTGTTCTCATTGTGTTTCGACTCCTTGCTCCAGAAGTTTCCATTACATCTACCAATCAAAAATGGCCATCCCGTGTGTTGCCCGAGAAACTAAAACCATTAACAAACCTAGATGTATACACTGGTTTTAAAAATGTTCCTTTAACTAAGTCGGTGTTTTAGCATTATAATAAACTTGTATTTCATTTGCGTGATATTTTTAAACCAGAGTTGATGTCTCTCGAGCTGGTGTCTCCGTGTCTCCTGTGGCTGCTAATTATAGACGGCCTGTTTCCCCCGACGACCGTCACTTCCTGTTTGTCCAATGGGAACTGAGTGGACACACACACACACACACACACACACACACACACACACACACACACACACACACTGTACACATTGTGAAGGGTTCCTGTTCCTGAGGGTCTGTAGATCCATTCAGAGAGGAGGTGAGGCTTATGAGGTTAGGAGGAGAAGAGATGAGAGAAAAGCCTTTTTAATAGTTTGACTGAACAAAAAGAAAGGAGAAGAAGAAGAAGAAGAAGAAGAAGTGTCTCTTGGAGTGACAAACTGGAGGAAGAAGAGAAGAAAAGGAACAGAGCAGAGTGAGAGTTCAGAAAAGGAAAGAAGAAGAAAAAAGAGAATTGCAATGTGACTGTAAAGCTGATTCAGAGGAGGCGAGGGGATACAAAAAGAAGACAGGATTCATTTGAAACTTCTGTGTCAGAAAAGGAACAGCTGATGTGACTTTGGGTTGAAAACAAGAAGGACGAGGAGTAGCAGAATTGCAGAGAGAGTTTATTAACACTTGAAGTGTGTTCGAGGAGCAGATCTAATCTTGATGATGGGCTGCTGTCTGTTTGTTTACTATCGGGTGAGTCAACGTGTCTGAGTGATGTATAATGTATCCCAGGATGCTTTCAGTGACAACCTGAAAGGATTCGCCGAACGTTTATTAACCTCCATCCTGTTGTCGTATTCGTTTTTTGCTTTGTATTTTATTTGCGTTATGTATCACCAACTGTTTCCCACATTTCTTATCAATATAGCAGTCAGCTAACACTTGTTTAATTGCATTGTAATTGTTGCTGACCCACATCGGTGATTTTGAGTTGGACACTTTCTTGGAACTGTGATTCACACTACAGTCATGCTCCATGCGGCGCCTGCATCCGTATTTACGTCTGTGGTGGAACAAGTGTTGAGATAATGGAACAAAAAACAGGAGGAGAAAAAAACAATAAATGAGAAGCTACCATTTTTACGTTTTTGGTTGAAAAATGACTGGAAGCATTATTAACTGTTCAGTTCATTTATTTATATTGATCAACAAATTGATTAGTTGACTAATCATTGCAGATCTCAACACTTAAAATCAATTGATACAAACAAACACACATGATAAAGCAAAAGTGCATGCACCAGCCTCTGCACATACATAACATGTGCAAACCAAAACATATATTTCATTAGGTGACCACAAATGCACAGAATAAATGGAAAATATATTTTAGCCATCTTTTGTACTGTTCGACAGAGCCAGGCTGTTATAATCTGTTTTCAGTTGTTATGCTAAGCTAAGCTAGCTGTCTCTTAAAAAAAGGGGATAAGAACAACACTGTGGTAGATTCAGTGTATCCCAATGATGCTTTATTTAGGTTTTCCCATCTTTATTAAAACATCTAAATATACAAACATAGTAGACATGTACAGAGAACAAATATTAAAATATGAAAATACAAATAATACAATTATGACAAATAAACTTTACAGATCTAAAATTATAATAAAAAAAACAAAAAGGTTTACTGTACAGTTATCATTTTCTATTTAATTGTTTTGCTTTTGAAAGTCAATTTATGAATGCTAAAGTATTCACTTAACAATCCTGTGAAATTGGTAGTGACTTGTTAATTGTATACCAATGGTAATATGATATTCTAATTAAATAATACTTTTTAGAGATAGATGTTTGGAGGACTGATCTTATATGTATTTGAGGATCAGGCTCCTCCCTCATCCTTGGTTTCTATAGCGACAGCGAGTAAAAGGTAAAGTCTGCAATATTATATAACGTCCGGCCAACAACAAAATCTCAACACAATACTGAACAAACATCAGACTTCCTGCTATTGTTATAGTCTGCAGCAATGATCCTATCCTCCTCCTCCTCCTCCTCCTCCTCCTCCTCCTCCTCCTCCTCCTCCTCCTCATCTTGTCAGACTCCTTGTCTCCCTATCTGTTCATCCTCCTCTCCTCCTTCCCTCCTTCCTTTTCTTATCTTCTACTCTGCGTGCCCTCCTCCCTGTCTCCACCTTCTTGTTCTTTATCTCGTCCTCCCTGTCTCCCCCACCCTCCTGTCGTCTCCACCTCCACTCCTTATCTCCTCTTCCCGTTCTCCTCTCCTTATCTATTCCTCCTCTCATGTCCTCTCATGTCATACTCTCTTCAAGCCCCTCCTTGTTTGCTTCTTTCTAATCCACTCCCTTTATCTTTTTCATTCCCTCCTTCCACTAGTCTCCCTTCTTCTTCCATTTCACCCCCTCCATGTCTCCTATTAACTGTTCCTCTCCTCTCCCATCTTCTTCTCTCCATTCCTCTCCTTGTCTCCTAATTTCTCTTTTTCATCTATTTTCTTCCTTTCCTTGTCTCTTCCTCTTCTGCCTCCTCCTCTCTCTCTCTCCTTCCTCCTCTTCCTCTTTTTCTTCCTTGTCCTCCTCCACCCCCCCCTCCCACACACACTCTGTCCTCTGTGACCTCTCTTCAGGTGTGTGTGTGTGTGTGTGTGTGTGTGTGTGTGTGTGTGTGTGTGTGTGTGTGTGTGTGTGTGTGTGTGTGTGTGTGTGTGTGTGTGTTTTTCTTCCTGTTGTTTTTGTCGTCATGGCAGCTACAGGAAGTCTCCTCCATTCAGTCATTAAGGTCATACTGTAAGCCTTACTCTGATATAAATTTCACTACTAATGTGATAGTGAAATCAACTTAAATACAACATGAAAACTGCTTTCTTGTCTTTGGGATGCCTTAGTTTGATCTTGTGACGTCAAATACATTTACTTTAATCCTCCTTCACTTAAACCAATACAACTCTTTATTCTTTCTTACCAGAAGGCAAATATATGATATTTCCTTTGGATTCTTGAGTGACTAAACTTGCTCATTGCTAATTGCTATGCTAACTGAGCAATCTGTAACCAAAGCCATGAAAGTTAAATGCTGCATTCAGCTGCAGGTTTGTTGTTAACTCTCTTAAACGTTATATTTAGGTCATTTGATGCAGTTGTGAAAATTAAATATAGCTGTAAAAGAAAATAACACAGACAGTGTGATTTGTATTGATCAAACTTCTTGAAATGGAAAACTTGCTCTCGATCTAACATAACGTCTGCTGTGTTTGTGTTGCAGAAGAAGAGGAAGCAGGCCAGCAGAGATGCAGACTCCCTCAGTCTCTGCAGTCTGGACATCAATGTAAGTTCAGCTTCTCTAAACTAACTTTCTGTTTTGGCTCAGCCTTGGTCTAAAAAGGTTTCATATCAAAGCTCTCAAGAAGTGGTGAAACGTGGCACATTGTTGGTGTCCTTAAGAGATGTTTGATATTTGGATAAATGAATTAAAATGCAGGTACATTATAGAAAACAGTATATTCCATCAACTTATTAATGCGAAGTATTGTTTTTGAGAAAGAGCAAAAAAAATGTTATAGGAAATAACTGTGTCTTTATTGAGTTGACCAAGTTATGTACAATTGTATCAAGTACATACAAAAACACCCAGGAAAAGTATTCTCAATATGTTACAAAGAATATGTATATCCTACTAAAATACGTATAGCCTGTTGTAGTGCTGCAGATAGCTGTAACAATCTTTCACAAGTGGTTACAAGCACCAACATTTCAGTGTTTATCCCTCTGGGGCCATTTATTTAAAAAAGCCCGTTAGCCACCTCAATTTTCAAAATGGCGACTATCTTCCAAGATGGCCGCCATTTTTGCTGCTTGCTTGGCATGCACAAAGATGCTTCAACGTGCTTTTTCAAAAGAGTAACCTCCATGGAGTATATGTGCCAATTGTAGAGCTTGTAACCACTTGTGAAAGATTGCCCTGATAATATTCAATTATCTGCAGCACTATTGAGAAGAAAAGAAGAGATAGCACTCGTGAAAATGTGTTGGAAAAAAAATCCATGACATTTAATACATGCAATATTAGTTACACCGATAGATTTTTATTCCAATGACCAGTGAAAATGAGTAAACGGACGGTGTCCATATTTTCTTCCAAATGTAATTCTTTCAACTATCTTACACAAACAGCTGGTTTTTAATCTTTCCAAATAGGGGCTAATAGTGAGCTGTAACTTCGTGCTTTGCTTTGTAACTTCGTGCTTTGTTATCTCCATCTCTGACCACGGTCAGAGATGGAGATAACAAAGCACGAAGTTACTGCACGTGTATAGTGGACCCTCGGAGGGCCTCAAACCAGTGTTGGGCCCCCTCCTTATAAAGTTGTCCGTATTTTTAGCCCTCTGCCAGCAGCCGTTTCTTTCTGGGTGTTCCCCTCCCTGTCCAACACAGGATGTCCCCCCTGTTCGATGTACACCTCAGAATGACAAACACCATCAGTCTTAATCTGTTCCAAGCCAACAGTAAGAACCTTGAACAACTTACACTCTATTGTTTCTCTACCGTTACTCCCAGTGAGTCACACACAGTCATATTGTGCTCTTACTGAAACTGCAGGAGCTGGAGACATGGATCCAAAAATATGTACGTATTTGTACAAATCATTTCACATTCATTTACACATCAATTTAGAGGACAAACTTTTTCAAATGAGTTAACTTCTTAAAGACACAAATGTACTCTTTTCACTATTCATAATTGTTTCCAGAGAAGCACTATCTTTCTGGGAATACTTGGCGCTAATTCCTCTAACAGATATTTTGAATTTAAATAGTTGTGTATAATTTAAACTCCTCAATTCAAACCAAAATAAATATTCATCCATATTAATGAATGTATCTACTTTTATTATGTCTATTAATATTCTGTTTTATCTACATTGTCAAATTGGTAGATTAAACTCAATGTTTATAATTCAGGTTCATTTTCACATTTCAGACAATATCAACAAAATCAAAACATTATGTCAGACCGTTTTATAGTGGAAATATTGTACTTTTGACTTTGCTACATAATAACTTGGTTCGTCTAAAAGTTAAGATACCTGCCTAAAAAAACAATATGATGTTTTGTTATACATTTCAGCAGTTTAAAGAAATACAAATAAAATGATGAATCCTTGAGTTGATAGTCAGAAAGTATATACACATGCCAGATTAACACTTATCGATTGTGTTTCGTAAACTAAGGGGAGGAAAAGTGAATGAACTGTTGGGGCCAATACAGTCTCCAGAATAAAACCAGATGATCTCATTTTATTGGAGAGTCTCAAGGTAATGTTATATAGTGTTTCCAGGAAGAGCATTTCAACCTTTTGAAAAAAGTAATACTTGTTTTTAGATGTCAAGTGGTCATAGTACATAATATACTTAACACATTTGAAGAAAAATAAGAAAGATATCCATTCATATAAAATATTAACATAATTAAATGATAATGACATACAAGTTAATAATGAACAAAAACGTTCATAAATGCTTCTTTAGTAGATTCAACCTTTACAAGAATAGGGAAATCAAAACCTGTCAGGAAAATGTTTACTGAGGTGATAAATCAAGTGAGAAGTCCGGTCATTTTCTCATAGCCTTCTATACAATCAGACTCCTTTTTGCCATCAATGAAGTCGCCCTCTGCTGGAAATGAGAGAGAATGTATGTTAATGGCACTTTTGCATTGGTAAAATTGCGGCTTGTAAAATATTTGTTATGTGAGGAGTGTCTTGTCTTTAAGTTTAAAGAAAATCTTGATATTGTGATCGGATTATTACACAACTGGTCATATCAAAGAGTTATTTTTCATCTAAATAAGTCTTGTTAAAGTACTCATGTACAACCGATGTGTCACAGTTTAGATGAAACTAGGCGGGTTTGTCTGAGTCAGTTGTGACGATTGAATCTGCTGTAGGATCAGTTTATGACTCCTGTTCCTTTCTGGGCGTCCAAGACCAAACTGTCGTATTCCCAGACAATGGAGAGCTGCGTCAGAGGGGCGCTTTTGTTAGCTGAACATGAGGTGGGTTTCACGTCAGGTCAGAAGTCAGTGATCGCAGTCACAGCTTTCAAAGGAAACCATGGAAACATTTCTATAGAACATACACTAAGATCAATGTGGTTCATGACCTACAGCTGATCCAGGATGTGTTTATACGTTTCTATTTTGGATAAAGCTATATGTCTGCTTACTGTATGTACACCTATCTCGTTTTAGTCACATGACATTGATGTACAATTATTCCTTTGAGACAACATCTATTGTTAACCATCATCTTGTCTTTCAAATGTCAGAAAATAGAGGAAAAATTCCCAATACCTTTGTTTAGGTTGAGGTCCTCATAATTTCTTGTGTTTTCCGACCAAGAGTCCAAAACACCAAGATATTCAGTATTCCTCCATTTGAGAAGCTAGAATAAGGACATTTCGTTTTTTCTTTCCAAAAAGCCTGGTCTGAATCAAACCAATGATAATCAAATCTGTGTCAGCCATATAACCACTACACGTAAAAACCTTTTCCAATGTAGGCCGGCTCTCTTTTAACCAAACCTGAACCAACAACCACATCTTATTTCTCAAAAGTGAAACAGATGTGTGTGTTAACAATATATACACCAACACGGACAGTCATTGATTTGAGAACTGCTGTAAAATGAGGGCAGAGCTTTAGCTGCCTGCAGGCGTCTTTCTCTCTTTAGTCATTACAATTCAGATTGACATTGACTGAGGCCTAGTTGCACTGAGTTGAATGTTGGATATAGAACCTTTACAGGTTTATATGGCACTCCGGAGATTAACAATGCAGCATCATTTTGCAATAAAAATGTTTTTTGCTCTGATGGGTTTTTTTTTATTGTCAACAAACCTCCCAAATCTATGTGTTGGTTTGTCTCTTAATTCTCTACCACATCGTGAGTGGTTCTCAGCTCCAAACCCATTTGTTAAATATTTAAAAACTGAAAAACACAAAATGTATTTCTAGAAAAACTATCAGTTATATCTTAAAACAGCTGGTCACTGTTATTTTAAGCAAACATTAATCAGACAGAAGGAAATACTGCATTGTTTTCATCAGCGGAATAATCCACATTTGGTGATCTAATGATTATTTAGGGCAGCGGGACAGTGTATGTGGGATTGAGTCAAAATAAACCAGAGTGTGTGACTTCATCAAATCAAATCAAATCAAGTTTTATTTATATAGCACATTTAAAAGCGATTTTTGGTCGAGCCAAAGTGCTGTACATGTAATAAAAACACTTTACTACAATCACAATAAAAGACAATAATTTAAAACAGAGATATGAAAATCAAAAACACAGGGAATAGTCAGGTGTCATGCTCCGCTCTGACTAGAAGGCCAGGGAGAAGAAGTGAGTCTTTAGTGAGGATTTAAAAACCCCTAGTGTCTGGGCCGACCTCACATGGAGGGGCAGACTATTCCAGAGCCTAGCCTTTTTTCATGGTGATGAATGAACATGTCAGTCAGTGCTACAGTGTGGCTCATTGGTGTGTTGTTAATAGTTTTTATAAGGGACAATGGAGCACTATGGCACAGAGGAAGAAGATATATCAGGCTTTGTTACAAAGACAATACTTGTTGAGGTCTTTTTATGGGATTTGCTGACATGAAGACACATTGTACAGTGTCTTAATTGTACCTGTATTGTTTGTAAGTAAAGGCTGAGTGTTTAAATGGAAAAAGTAGAAGCTATTGCAAATGATGGAAAGGAAGGAAGTAAGAAAAGTGAGTGGGTGAGGGCGCCAGTGAGTCAGAGAGGGTGAGAGCATTGATTTGCAAAGAGACAGAGAGTCAGAGTGAACAACCATCATAGAGAGAAAGCATTATCAGCTGAAGAGAAGTCCAACAGAAACATGGGATAAGAGCTCCAGGTGGTCCACAAGATACCTTTAGTAGAATCCTTCTCAACACCGCTGGTACCCGAGCTGGATCCAGACTCTCTGCTACCGTCAGTCCTCTGGATACTACCAGGAACATGCTCGTACAGAACTTGTGCTGGAAACTATACTGTTACTCATTTGTTTCTGGGCTCTCTGCTGCTGTCAGCTACTTTTTTGGATAGCTCATACTTGAAACTTTGCTGGTACCTCATTTTTGGACACTGTAAAGTGTAAAGTACCACTACCAGACACTTTCTATACTCTAATTATTTACCACTATCTCTTGTACCAACAAGAACTAAATTGGGTCATTTAGTTAAAAATCCTTTGAATGGTCTAATAGTTATTTCCTGGCTCTTAGCAATTTTCAGATATGTAGCTGCCACATAATCTCTTCAGACACTGGATACTCTTCTGTCTACACACTTGGACTAATTATGGTATAACTCGGACTCCTAACCAGCCTTAAACCTCTTCTGGACATCCACACCTGGATGTTCTGACAGCACTGATCTCTTCCTGGACACTGTTTGAAAATATATCTGGACTCTCTCTCTTGCTACTGGGAAATCAGATCCTGTACTGGTCTTTGTGGTGAGCAGTATGGTTTTGGGGAAGGGTCCCTTCTGCCTGCTGGTACACCGGTTTAAATCTGGATACCCTGTGGAGTTTGGCAAGGGGAAAAAGGACATGGGGAACCAGGTGGAGGTAAGATGCAGGAAATATCCTATAAAACAATCAAATATTGCTTGTGAATCAATCTAAATCTCAGAACTATCTGAATTATGTAGCTATACTTGGTTTTTTTTAAACATGTTTTCATTCATATCATCTCAAGTATATGTAGTTCTATTTAGGTTTTACTCAATAAATGTTATGCTATACTATCGTTAAATTAAACTATAGTTTTTGGAGTCACCAGATTTTACAAAATGTTTAACTTTTTGGCTTTTGTGGTTCCCGCTTTAGTTCTTTATATATTTTCTTAAATATAAATATGTATTGCTATTGCACTTAAGGGTAATGATACTGTACTGTAATGATGAGTTATTATTGTTGTTTTTTGTTGCTGATGTTTACATTCCTTATGATAAACATATCTCTAAATGCTCTATGGAATTGCACTACTCTTTTTGTGAAGCGTAAATGGACTAGGCTACAAATCCATTTTGTTGTGAAACACTGTGTTGTATAATGACACTAAATGATCCTTAAAACCTTGAGACATTCACAACCTCCTCTAATCTCAGTAGAGTCCAGTCCACCTAAAGAGTAACAGCCTAAATGACTTTTGTGATATTGTAGTTGGGATTTTTAAAACAAGACTCTGGTATCCTGCTTTGCTCAGACCTTATACATTGATTCAACCAAAAACAATGATTTTTCTTCTAGACTGAGTATTCAAAACATTGATGTTTAGTAGGAAGTCCTGTAGGACATACATTTTATTATTGGACTCTGTCGACACAAACAAATCAAACTCTTGCCCCTGAGAGTCTGCTGTGAGGACCAGTCTATTGTTGTATTGATCTTTGTCAGATTGAATCAACTGAAGCGCAATCAAACACAAATCCCATACAACATGTCCAATGGAAAGTAAATCAACTGATTATTTTTTATTTACACTGAACCCCAAAACCTTTTCAAAACAACAACTTAATTAAAACAAAAGTATGTGCTGAAAAATGTGAGAAAATACACTGACTTTTATTAAGTATTTTAACTAATGTTAACATTTTACATTCTACCAACAGCAACTTTAAAGCGTATCAAGTCACAGCTTTCCATTTTCAGTCACTTCTTTATTGGATGTATTGGTATATGTAATGGATGAGAAAAATATATTTTGGGTGAAATCCTAGAGAAATATGATCGGATACATCAAAACTTTCTGTGACTTTCAGTGATTGGAGAGGGGGAAAAAAAAAAAAGAAATCGAAGGTAGATTTAATTCTGGTTGACTAGTTGCTGTGGTTATGGAAAAATTGAAAAACATTTAGAAGGTGTTTGAGGAGCTCAGCTGGCTGTGAAACATAGAAACACACACACACACAGACACAGACACACACACACACACACACACACACACACACACACACACACACACACACACACACACACACACACACACACACACACACACACACACACACACACACACACACACACACATACACACACATATTGATGAAGTCTGTATCCAGGACAAACAGCCTGGTGGCGTTTCACACATAGAGACTGACCCTGATAATATGACTGTATGTGTGTGCGTGTGTTTGTGTGCACACTGTGTGTGTACGTGTGTGTTGGTGTGATAAATTCAGAGAGGGAAATACTTAGTCACACTATTGTTTAACTTACGCTATACTCACAATAACAAGTAAACACATCACAAAGTCAATGTTTAAAATTCCAGACTGATTGTTCAAATTCAGGAGACAAGTTTTAAAATGTGTCTTTTGATCGATCAATCTATTGAAAGCAAAACTTTGCTGCAAATATCAGTTTTTATATGTTGTAATTTGACAAAGTTTGACTTCTCTCTCCTCCAGGAGCCCAGCACAAAGCGCAGCAAACTCGTATCCAGGGTGACGTCTCTGCTGCAACCTGTCAAGACGGCACCGCTGAAGAGGATTGGTCAGACGCTGCAGGTGAACAGCCAATCAGATGTCTCCACCAGTTTTTTGTCAATACATTTGTGAAAATCTTCCCTGGTTCTGAAAGTGTTTTACCTAATGAATATTCCAATTATTTAATTTAGTTTTTATAGTTTTCTCCGTGTAGGGGCAACTGAAAATCGAAAAAATAAGATTTTTCAGAATAACATAATTCCAAAATTAATGTAATGATCTGTATGTTGAAAATGATTTCCACTTTGTTTCCCTAATCAGTTCCAGCTCTAAATACTACAATACCCATAGTTCTTAGCTGCTATTGCTTAAGATATTCTAAGTGCCTTAGAATATAATTAACAGTAGTTGCTCACTTTATCCAAGTTATTCAAGATGAAAATGGTCAAATATAAAAAATAAATGAGTAATTCCTTATTTCTGATACATGTTTATTAGCACTTCCCACTTAAAAACTTTATTTGAAATGTGATAAGACAATTTGTAGCCCATCAGTAAACATCTGAAATAAATAAGGATAATATTCTATAGACAGTGCTGTACTTTATAATTTATTCAAATGTAATATTTCCTTATTTAACCGTCTGTCTCTGCAGCGCTCCATCAGTTTTCGTAATGAGGGTCAGACAGAGAGAGCAGCTCCTCCACCTCCCCCCTCCTTTTCCTCTTCCTCCATGATGAAGACGCGTGTTCTCTCAGCAACACTCTCAAACCCGGGCTCATCAAGCACAATGACACGGGTTTCCACAGCAACGGTGCCAGCCGCCAAGCGCCGTGACAGCAAACTCTGGAGCGAGACCTTCGACGTGCGGCTAGGAACGATGCAGACTCTGAGCCCGAAAGAGATAAAACGACAAGAGGTGAGAGAAACACTGCTGCTGGACTCAAGGAGTTTTTTAAAGGGGCATTTTAGCTTTTTAGGGTTTTCCTCTCCTGCAGTGTGTTTTATGGGATTGTTTGCTAGTAAGGGCCCGTGTCCACATAGTGCCTTTTTTTTCGGAAAGGCGCTGAAAGGGCAGGTAAACCCTCTCTGCTGCCTGAAACGCTCCATTAGACATTACTATGTAACACTCGCACTTCTATTGGCAACACTAAATACAAATATGATCCTAAAAATGAACATAATAATGTCCTCTTTAATGCAAAATATAAATCAGCTAATGAATTATGAAGTACTATTCTAATATGGATATGCAGTAATTTAGTTGTATAATACACACATGACTTTTACTTATAACAGAGTATTTCTAAACTGTGGTATTACTGAAGATCTTAGTACTTTTTCGACCTCTGCTCATTTATCTATTTACAATATAAACATCATAAATTAAAAACATTCTACTGCTTTCATTTTCTTTATCTCTCTCTTTGTCTCTCTTCCTGCAGGCTATATTCGAGTTGGCTCAGGGTGAGCAAGACTTGGTGGAGGATCTCAAGTTGGCTAAGAAGGTAACAAAAATAACTTCTTCTTGAAGAAGTAACTTTGATTGTTCAGTAAGAGTATTTTCCTTAGCATGCTCATATGTATGTATGTGTTCTCCAGGCTTACCATGACCCCATGCTGAAGCTGTCAATCATGACTGAGCAGGAACTGAACCACATCTTTGGCACTCTGGATTCTCTGATACCCCTCCATGAAGGTAGGAAGGATCATGTTTGAAATAAGCTACATGGCTAACATAAGATTATTGTAAAATACAATCTATGTTATCTAACAGATAACTGAAGCCCCCAATGTTGTGTAATGTCTGAAAAGGGCTTAAAGCGGCACTTCATGTAATGGCCACCAGAGGGGTACAGTGTGATTCCTGCAAGTCTCTCTGCATACACAGTATAAGGTTTACACTGCAGAAGAGGTTCAGCCAAGGACACATTCTGAACTTTAACCAGGGAGCCTGTAAGGAAAAGGACCATTATTCCATTGGATTGGGTGTTAGCATGTTTGGCTGAATGTTCTGACAGGCTGATAAGAAGATTGAGTCATACTTAAACTTTTATTCTGGCAAATCTCTGTATGACTGCATATTTAAAAACTTTGGCTTGTTTTCTTTAAAAAAAAGAAAAATTTCAACTCAGCTTTTTTAGTTTATTTCGAACTACTTTTTTCTTTTTTTCTGTATCAAGATATTTTTTATTCTGCCTGATTCTAATTGTATTTATATATTTCCTTTCTGCCTGTTACTTAAATCTTCCAACAGTTCTGCACTGCACTAAGGAAGTAGGACAATGAGTCCTGAGGTTAATGTAATTGGTTAAAGGTATGTGAAATATGACCACTCAATTAAAAAGATATTTGAGAAAAACTTTTTGTTTAGGCTGTATTTCACAAAATATTATAAAAACCCTTGGAATTAATAATTTCAGGATCAGTATATTTGAAAGCTTCAACTATTTTAGCCTTTCTAGTGACATGGATTGAGTTTGTATATTAATGTCAGGCTCCTACAGAACAGCTGTCTCAGTATTTCTCAATGACATTGTTTCATGTTTGATGTTCCCGTGCTGTTTTCAAATAAGAGTTTCAGAATTTGACAACCGTCTTTGTCTCCTCAGACCTGCTGAGTCGTCTCAGAAATGCCAGAAAACCTGACGGGTCAACAGAACATGTGGGACGCATCCTGACTGACTGGGTGAGTGAGTGTTTCTCTTTACAAAAAACAACATACCGAAAATACTCAGAGCTTCCATGTAACATGCACTGTGTGGTAATCAGGTGTGTGTGTGTGTGTGTGTGTGTGTGTGTGTGTGTGTGTGTGTGTGTGTGTGTGTGTGTGTGTGTGTGTGTGTGTGTGTGTGTGTGTGTGTGTGTGTGTGTGTGTGTGTGTGTGTGTGTGTGTGTGTGTGTGTGTGTGTGTGTGTGTGTGTGTATTCCTGCAGCTGCCGTGTCTCTCCTCCTACACATCGTACTGCAGTAACCAGGTGAAGGCCAAGACCTTGTTGGACCAGAAGAAGCAGGACCGGCGGGTCCAGGACTTCTTGCAGCGCTGTCTCCAGTCGCCTTTTAGCAGGAAGTTGGACCTCTGGAACTTCCTGGACATCCCCCGCAGTCGACTGGTGAAATACCCGCTGCTGCTCAGGGAGATCGTGAAGCACACGGCCAACGACCACCCGGACCGGCAGCACCTGGACGAGGCGGTGAGGAAAACAAGCGCTACCATTATTTTCATGTTTGTCTTGTAGATCTGGATCACCTCACCATCTGACTGAGGGAGTGGGAAAACATTTGCGTTTTATTTTCTTAAAACATGTAAATTATGCAAATATAACCCAGAAAATTCCGACACAGCTTTAAATAGTTAAACCGAGCTTGGTATTAACCCTGAAATACCAGCAGTAACCTCTAAAAGTTTGGGATAAACTTGGAAATAAGGGAAGAATGGCACCCCTGGGTTTTTTTTTCACTCCTAATCATTTTCCCAAAAAGAAATTTGGTGAAAGTTGGAGCACTTTGAGTCGTGGATGGCCATTTACTCTGCTGGTTGAATTGTAAGTACCAAAAATGAACAAATGCAGAGGCGGCGGGTACTGTAGTCTATATTTTTGTCACTGCATCCTGGTAAAAATTAAAATATTATGTATAATTGTTGTGTCTTTGACATTAGCGCTGCTATGCAGCCAACTGACGGCGTGCAAGCACCTACGCAGCCTGTTTGTGTCAAGCGGCTTGTGATCGTGATGTGATTGGCCACAGAGGGGCTGGCCAATCACATCACGATCCGACAGCGAAGTCTCAAAAATGGATAAATGGAAAATGTTCAAGGAAAACATTAAAACAACCAGTAATCCCGATGCCACGACGGACACCCGCCAAGATAAGGTGACAACTAGTAAGCCGGGCAGTGCCGGGGGCAAGCCGGGAGCCGAGCCGGGAGCCGAGCCGGGCAGTGTGGGAGGCAGGCCAGGAGCTTTTTTTTTGTTTAGCATGGACTACACCCTGGCTGCTGAAGATGACGTCAATGACGCTATCGCGTAGAGCTACGTCGATGCTTGCGTAATGCGGAAGTAGGCGTGGTTAAATCTAAACTGGGTTGGAAAAACGATAGACGCCGGAGCATGGATGTATAATAAGAACTGGATACAGCGTCGGAGGCGGGGTCTCGTTCTTTCCTATGAGAGCTGCTCATTGGCGCATGAGGACAAAATGGTCCAACTTTTGAGAGCGAAGCGTCACAGAGATTACCCGTCATGCCTGGCTGTCAGGGCAGAAGAACCCATATGTGCGCTCACAGAGCATGCGCCCCTTAAGCCCCGCCCCCCAAGCTCCCACTCTCGGCTCACTAGAATGAATGGAGAGAGAAAATAAATCTAGATTCAGCTTTTAGTGCATTTTACAACTTTAAGGACTTAATGATTATAATAAGGGCTATAAAATAGTTCATACTGGGTAGTTTATTTAGTTAAAAAAAATGATCCGCTGATTTACAGACGTCTCTTTCCCAATGTTAGTCAATGGGGAAAAGTCTTTCTGGGCCCAGTGACGTCACGGACTGATACGGAAATTGTAGTATCGCCGTTTGGACACAACACATTTTTTCCTCAGAGTCCGGAGCACTTCCTGGGGGCTTGTCAGGTAAAAAAAGTTGTTTAGCCTTCCCAAACCTGAGCCTCATGCGCTGCCTATGAACAAATGTCAAATTTGGACAAGGGTCGACTAAAAAACAGAACCAATTAAGTAAACTAGAACTACCAGGGTGCCTTTCACTGATTAAACAAACAATCCCATCTTAAAGTGCGGTTATGTGTACAGTTCATGGTGAAAAAAGTTGCAAACACCCTTTAAAAGTCAGAACAAATTGGTGTTTAACCCTACACATTTGTGAATTTGTTTAAAGTAGGGGTAACACTTTATTTTGTATGTTAAAAACGAACAAAATCAGATAATTATGGGTAAAAAATCAGTTATATAAATACATTTTGTTTACAACTTAGTTTTTATCATTCATTCATTTATTTATTTCTCTACACCAGCCTGCTCTCTGCACAATTCACATTGTTTGCATGTATCTTAGTTGGTTACTTCTCTTTGAAATATAGAGCAGGTGATGGGTGCAGAAGGAATCATTCAGTCATGGCAGGGGATGGACCACAGATGCATAAAAGGATGAGAAACAGACCAGTGGATTTAAAATGTGTCTGATGTTATCTGTTTGCTCTGCAGATGCTGATGGTTCAGAGCGTGGTGGGGGACATCAACAGGCGGACGGGGGAGTCCGAGTGTCAGTACTACAAGGACCGCCTGTTGTACACAGAGGAGGGGCAGAGGGACGAGCTCATCGACCGCTCCAGGACCCTCAGCTGCCACGGAGAGCTGAAGAACAACAGGGGACTCGTCAGTGCATTTCTACTATTTTATACTTATTAACTACCGCTTCCTTTAACACCATACATTTGATACTCTCTCTCAATATAAAAACTACAGTCGAGGGAGGTGAAAAATATTTCAAGAAAATAAAAAAGTAATAAAGTGAACATTTTTAGTTTTTTGATTTTGTTGGGCCTGAAAATAGACAGGACTCAAAAAAAGAATTACAGAAATGGGGGAGGGGAATAATATACATTAGTAAAACATATGTACACTGTGTATAAGATAGCTTTTTCCCTGGTGAGATCATTATATATTATAAGCCCTTGTAAAATATATAACAATATCTTTTTAAAGTGTACCTGTGTTATTGTGACTATTATTTTCAATCTTTATCTTTACCATGTGAAAAGTCATCACTGATTTGATTATTTTTACAAGTTTTATGACTAGACCATGTTCCAAATATTTTTATTTTTTTATTTTTTATTTTTTTTAAACCTTTATTTAACCAGATAAAAACATTGAGATAAAATCTCATTTTCAATGCTGACCTGGCCAAGAAGGCAGCAACGTTACACAACACATAACACAAACATCTCAGACATCTCAGACAACTTCAATTTAAAACATGCTATTGAGACAAGTGCTGTCAGTTTGAGGCGTGATTGAAGGTCATTCCAAGACCAAGGACCATAATAAAAAAAGACTCCTTTTTCCAGCCTCAGTCCGCACAGCAGGTACCTGGAACCGTATCCAGGCACTGGATCTGAGGTTGTAAGAGTCGCAAACTGGGGCAAATCTGACACATATGTACAGTGGAAGCTTACCTAAAATGGCTTTATACATTAATAAAAGCCAGTGCTGCATCCTACGCATAGTAAGTGAGGACCATCCAGTTAGGCTATACAGTGTGCAATGATGATATTGTATCTGGGATGTATAGAAATAAAACAGTTTCTCTCTCTGTTTCCAGAAGCTCCACGTGTTTCTGTTCCAGGACGTCCTCGTCATCACCAGGTCCATCTCGCTGAACGATTATCCAGTCAGCTACCAGCTGTGCCGCCAGCCAATACCCATCCGGCAGCTGGACCTGGAGGACCTATCAGACGGAGAGATGCGAGTGGGCGGGTCCATCAGAGGAGCCTTCAGCAACAACGAGAGAAGTGAGAATTTCGCAAATACAGCGGATATTAAAACTCCAAGATTTTATTTTGTCAGGATCTGTTTCCATGCAGTCACTTGTTTTGTTCCATACTATAATGCAGTACTGTATAAGTACACTGTATGGCTCAAATACATGTAATGTAGTTCTGGTCTGAGGCAAGCCTAAAGCCTCATTCCCACTGGACAACAAAACACATACTAACCTGATAACAATCGGCTTGATCTACAGTGGAAAAGGTTAGATACGGCATTCATTCCTGGGTAAAAAGACTGCAATGGAAACATAACACTCAGGTGGACATGCTAATTTGTGAACCTTTTACAACATGATGCTATGAGGTTATAACTAATAGAATTCTATCTATTCTGTCTCTCTCCTCACAGCAAAGAACTTCTTTCGGGTTTCCTACCGTGCCGGAGGTCAGCTGCAGAGCCACTGCTTCCAGGCCAGCGACACCTTCAACAAGCAGCAGTGGATCAACTGCATCAGACAAGCCAAAGAAGCTGCAGCGCTGACAGAAGACCAGCCCCCACAGACAGGACAATGTGTGGAGACAGAGCCGAGTGGACAGACAGGGCTGCTGGGTGAGACAGGGCTGCTGGGTGAGATGGGGCTGCTGGGTGAGACAGGGCTGCTGGGTGAGATGGGGCTGCTAGGTGAGACAGGTGAGACAGGGCTGCTGGGTGTGACAGGTGAGACAGGGCTGCTGGGTGAGATGGGGCTGCTGGGTGAGACAGGTGAAACAGGGCTGCTGGGTGAGACAGGGCTGCTGGGTGAGATGGGGCTGCTGGGTGAGACAGGTGAGACAGGGCTGCTGGGTGAGATGGGGCTGCTGGGTGAGACAGGTGAGACAGGGCTGCTGGGTGAGATGGGGCTGCTGGGTGAGACAGGTGAGACAGGGCTGCTGGGTGTGACAGGGCTGCTGGGTGACACCGGTCCGAGTCTGGGGCAGGAAGAAGAAAATTGTATGTGGAGGGAGGGGGAAACAGGGCGGAGTTCTGAAGGAGAGGTAGGTCTTATCGGAGAGACAGATTCGGAGAAAGAGGAAGACGTGGGTTTGAGTCACGAGACATTGATGGGCATGGGTGGGGGGATGGAGACAGGTTTGTGTTTGAATGAAGGGACTGTTTTGGAATTAGATGGAAAAACAATGAAGGATCTTGAGACAAGGCTGAAAGAGACGGGCGAGATGGAGACAGGACAGGGAGTCGGTGAAGAGATGGGAACCGGAGCAGACTGGAGGATGGATGGAGGAGGAGAGGTGCTGAGCCGAGGTCCTAATAATGTCCCCACCTTCCTTCTCTCCCCTGCTTCTCCCTGTGGAGAGGAGAAGGAGCGGGAGGTGATGGAGGAGGAGTGTAGCAGCACTGAGGAGGGGGAGGAGGTGGACATGGACACAGACCTGCAGGGCGAGGAGCTGGACCTCAGGTGCTGATGTTAGACTCAAACGGGAGGATGATGCACTGAGGCACTGGCAGCCAATCAAATCGATGATGATGTCACTAAAAACTCAAACATCCCACAATGCAATGTGGGAGTGACGCCAAAATGCATAACAATCACCATGGTAGATCTGGAACAAGATATACAAGTTTGTCTGCATTTTCTAACAGCTGAAGGACTTCTACAGACGTGAAGGAAAAACTCAAAACTCAAGAGGTTCATTGTTCCTTGCTGTCAGGAAGTGTCAGGTAGTTACAGCTCTGTGTGTCTGAAAGATACATAATGCTGTTTATTCACACTCAAATATGTGAAATAATGGTACACATATTGTGTGAAACATAGTATGCGATTTCAGACGCAGCCCCATTTAACTGTACTTAATGCAAGGATGTATTAAGAGAATTGCATACCATGTTAAAGGATGCCAAAAAGGATTTCCTCATGCTTTTCTATTTTTGGCTCACAGACCAACTTACCGCAGACTAACCATGATTTACTGATACGGCTCTACAAGACTTTCTTTTTTATCTGATAAACGCTCAAATGCTGATAATGCAAACACTTGTTTGGAGAGTTTGTAATACCCAGAAATTGTATTTATGTTAATACTGTCTTGGAAAAAGTATTTTTGTCATGTGACCTGCCGTTCCAACTGTGGCCATTACATCAGAAATCACGTTGTTTTTGTTTTAGTTTTATTTCACAGACAGTCTTTTCTCGCTTCCCGGTTTCTTTTTTCTTAATACGTTTCTTCATTATACTGCCTCAATGTTATTCTTTTCTTTTGATCTGCCTTTGGAAAAACTGTTTTGCTGCAAATAGTCTAGGCCTTTACATAAGACAGTCCACTCATTCATTGTCAAATTTGACGTCTAGCTTTATGAACTCCTGCTATTTGCTGGTTCAGGACGGTAAGAATGTCAGCAGCATTCTCAGGTATTACAGTGCAAAGAAAATGTTAATGCGGAGAGACCAAATGAGTCCATCTCATAAAAGTCAACGGAAGACAATGACATGGTTTTAATGACAAAGCTTTTTCATCAATGAATGGTAATGAATCATGCTTGCAGCTGTGACTACCACTCAACAATAACACAATCATTATATTTAAAAAAAGAAAACACTCTACCGGAATTTCCCTACCGGATTGAATGCCTTAGGGAAATTCCAGTATTGTGTCTCTTCGACACTTAACAATTCTGCTGCAGGGATTGGATACATGAGGCAGGAACTAGTCAGCCAGAGCTCAGCACCTGCTAAAGCTTTACAAATCAAATTAACCAGTAATTATCTGAAACTTATACCTTTCATTTTGTGGATTTTCTGTTCTTCCAGCTCACTCCAAGCATTCCTTGCTCCTTAGCATTTCTCCTAGCTTGTTTTAACTCTTTAAATAATGTCTTCAAATCTGTTGTAATGTCTGAAAACACCTGTTGCATTTTCAACGTTTCAAACAACACTTTAATAATGAATGAATGTAATCATTTGCAAAGATGACAGTATCTTGTTGTATGGCAATGCTCAATGCAGACAGTGATGTTAATACAATGGGGTTTTTTATGAGAAAACATCAACATGTCAACATTTGAAACCAATTAGCTCTTTAAGACTCCTTTAATGAAGGTTTGAAGTCACATATACTGTATGATTCAAAGCCACTGCTGTAGGCACAGATAAACCCTCTGCACACCACCTTTCCAAATCAAACAGCAGACGGATAAGATTATGAAGTGAAGAAAGTGGAAAATCATGCAGCTGAAAAGCCAGATATTTCTCTCAGGAGTACTGGCCTTACTATCTTCAGATGGAAAGAAAGAGGACAACTCTAACTTTATAAAATGACACGGAGGTTGCTGTTGCCAAGAAATGATAAATGCAGTGTTTGCAATATTTTCACAAGAGTATTGCTGAAACAGAAAATGTGGTGTGACTTTTCACTTAACTGTATTTGATCATCTCAAATAGTTGTGTATACATGAATTAGTTGGAGGTATATAGAAGCCCCGAGTGGACAGTGTGGAAAAAAAGTTCTGATGATTTCTGAGGTAAATGGTTTTGTCTCGTGTTACTCACCCGAAAGCAAACATGAAAGATTATGATAGTAGAAACACGGGGTAGTGGTGGCTTATGGAGATAGTGAGCATTACACACACGTTTTGTCTCTCCTTGTCATAGATTTAAAAAAGGATCCTGGCAAATAATCCTTGCATAAGCTTTTCTTCCTATCTGTTTCACAAATTATATTTTTAAGGAATTTGGAAATCTTGTCAAAACCTTTTTTCAACTGTTTTTATTTCATAAACTCAGGAGAGAAACAATTATGATGTTGTAAGTGGATAACCATATTTCTTTTTTTATTACCTCCCTCTTTCATTAATACACATTTACCGATTCAGTATTAATATCATTTTAAGGTCATTTTAGCATGGAGTCTACCTAAAGCATTCCTAATTCATTAAACTGTCAGTAATTACTGATCTATTTTTTGAAGTCGGTTTGAAAGATATCCTTGCAGCTGCTGAAGGAGTTTCTAGGAAAGCTGTTGTTGTGCCAACCAGAGAAGTCCTAAAGCAGGAATATGTTGTGTATGTACTGTATGTATGTAATTAGTGTATATTAAGTCTATCTGTATATGAATGTAGGAACGAAGCCAAGCATGTCTGTTTGTTATATTTCTGATTACACATAACCTGTGAAATATGACTTTTCAATGTCAAGACAATCACTTTTAAATGACCACTGTCAGGATAGTTGGGATACTGAGAGAAAGGCCCAATTCCAAACCGCCCCTTACACCCTACCCCTCCGTTCGCACGGAGGGTCCGCCACATTAAGGGCTGTTCCAAACCAACGAGTGTGGATGGGGAGTGGGTTACCAGCCCTCCAACAGCGAGTCTGCATCGGTCCTGACTTCACCTGCTGCTCTACCTGACAGGACTCAATGCTGTGTGTGTCCGTCATGAAACACGCTGTTTACTAACAGTTCTGTGGAAACATTCACTGATAAAGTGCACAACAAGAGCTATTTCATATCTTTAGGGATGCTCCGATCGCCAATTTTGGGGCCGATCGCCGGAATCAGTATCGGCCGATACCGATCGCCGATCCGATCGAGTGGGCGGGGCCTAAATGGAAGATTTAAACATCACTTTAAATCTTCCATTTAAAGTGATGTTTAAAACTCAGTTAATGGGGCTCATTCACTGGAGCTTCCACAAACAACAATCAACTTAATTATTACATTCAAATTATGTATATTATTCAAGTTTACATTCACTTTGGATAATAACACGGGAGAAATGAGCGGAAGCGCTCTCTTTTCCTCTTTTCCTCCTCTCTCCCCCTCTCTCCCCCTCTCTCTCCCTCTCTCTCCCTCTCCTGACAGCCCGTCAGTATCGTCTCATGCAGCTCACTGATCCAGTAATGTGTGAGGCCGACAGTGAAGAATAAATATATTTATAACTAGTTTAGCTTGTTCCAGAGGTAGATAAAATAGCTAAGTGTGTTAGGTCTAACTCTTGTGTGTTTCGCTCTGCTCACCGGTCCGTCACAGCGGGTGGAGCTGCAGGATTTCTGCTTCACACACACGTTGCATACCGCTATTTTACTGTCTTTTTCGGACACCTTAAAATAATGCCAGACCGGTGAAGTGTCATGTATTTTACGTCATGCAATCGGCTCTCGCGTTCGGCATGTTTAGAGAGCACCGATCGATCGGTAGAGAGTGAGTATCGGCCGATCTCGATCGGTGACCGATCGATCGGAGCATCCCTAATTATCTCCATACAGATGTTAACAACTTCATGGTTACCTCGTATTTGTTTGAACTTAGGATCATTTACTCATGCCTAGTCTAGAAAACTGTCAAAGTTGTGTATATTTACACAGACTTTTGCAACAACTAAGCAACTAAACATCAGATTTTAAAACGAAAATATGTTTACAAAAAATATATGCCATAAAAGATTTTTATTTATATATTTTTTAATCTAAGAGATGCTAATTTGAAACCGTTGTTACGTATTATGGCATTTCCTATTTCTGCCGGAGAGAGGGGAGTTTGTCCCAAAGCTTGCTGCTTTATTTACACCCTCCATCGGAAAGAAGGAGGAGCCTCTTTCAGCTGAGAGTGTGACTACAGACGGAGTTCACTCCATCACGGAGGGGGAGTGGGTAGGGTGAGGTTTGGAATTGGGCCAAAATGTTTCTGACCAAACTTGTCTACACTCTCAGTTGCTGAGAGTAAGTTGCTCTTTATTCTGTTCAAATGTATGGATTTTCACAAGACCAAAGCATCAATAAATTGTTATAAAAGAAGCCAGTCAGTGAATGGGTGATTACTGCAGGTTCCAAAGAAAATGTTGCCATATTAAAATGAAGACTAGTGGAAATGTCTTAAATGTCCCCTTGTTGAAGTTGCCATCTTAGGGTAGGAATACCGTGAACAAAGTTTACCACATGGCGAAGGGATAAATACACACACACATCGTCGGCGTTGCTTCTACCGGAAGTGACACGTTTTATTGCGCATGTCCATTTTATCACGGCAATACAGGAAGTGACTTTTAGTATAAGAGTATAAAATAAACAGATTCATATCTTAGAATTCAACACCCCCACTTACTCTTATACTGTACAAATTCTCAACATAAATTCAATTTAAACACCTTGTACACAATAACAGTGTTTTTAAACGTCTGGGGTTATTTACATTCCAAACAAATACTTTACAAATGTCTCACTTTGGACCTTTTGGCTCTGAAAAATACTGTGACAGTTTACTGACCATCCAACTTAGATCAGGCCGAGTAGATGTCATTTAATATATTAAGCTGCCTACCACTTCACGATATTGTGTTGCATCAACAGCTTCACCATCAAAGTGTTGTTTCTGTTCACATGGGGTGGACCTTAGTCATTCATACCAAACTTTTCCAGTATTTTTGTAATGAATTTCTTTTGACTCATCCTTATTTCTCCTTTTTCCTGAGTAAAGTCAATGCCTTGGAAATGTTTAAGTTTCCCAAGATCCTTCATTTTGAATTTTGTGCTCAACATTTCTTTCACAGTATTAATTGTGTGAATGTCATTAGATGCGATAACTAGCCCATCCACCCAAATAATCAGAATGATCCTCTCATTTTCTATTCCTTTACTGTAGTGTAGACACAATGATCAGCTGGGGTTTGTGCAAAACCATTCTCACAGAGATGATCATGCAACATTTTCTTCCAGTTTCTTCCAGATAGTTTTAACCCATACAGTGATTTATTCAGCTTGCAGCTTTTCATCTGTGTCTGACTTGACTCCAAAACCTTCAGGTTGCTGCACATACAGCTCACAGTCAATTGGAGCGTGTAAATACGCAGTTTTAACATCCATCTGATGTAGGTGTAAGTCATGTTGAGCTGCCAGTTGCATCAAGCTTCTTACTGATGTCATGTTTGCAGTCGGGGAAAATGTCTCCTTATAGTCTATTCCTGCCACTTGACTATATCCCTTTGCAACATATCTGGCTTTGTATATCTCAGTCTTTTCTGTGTTTTCTTTGATTGTATAGACCCATCTACCCCCCACTGCATTGTTGCCCTCTGGTAGTGTGGTCAATGTGAATGTGTCATTTTCCTTAAGAGAATTAATTTCCTCCTGCATAGCATCAGTCCAAAGTTTTGACTCAGCT